TATATATGCAAATACAAATTCGTGAAGATAATCCGATTTCTATGGGGCCATACCATTGACGAAAGTGAACTACTTTGAACAACTGAGCAATTTATTACTTTCAACAACTGAGCAATTTATAAACCCCGCTAGAAAAGAAAGGGTGGGGGGGGGTAACCTCAAGAAACAACACCTCCATAGTGCTGGGGGATGGGGGAGGAAAGACATCAAGCTAACTGTAATCCATTCTATAAAGAAGTGATTTTAATATTACCAAAAGCATTCGGAAGTTAAAAAAAACCCTGATGTTATCTTTTTTGTCTAATGTGTGATTTTACTCCCCCATCAACACAAGTAAGATCATTTACTTAGGATATAGGCTTCTGGCCCTGTCTGTCAAGGCCAACCTGAGCTGAGAGGAAAACAACATCCAAGCAGAAAGACCGAGATACACAATAAAAATGTTCTCCCGACTATGGAATCGAACTCCGGTCTCCTGCATGAAACAGCAAAGTGCCTATCCGCTACACCAGACACCCGCAACCTGAAGTTTGAAAACAAGCACCTACTAGCTGGCAACAAAAGATCAATACATGTCACAGTATAATACTGCAACAACAGGAATTCAAAACACAGAAATAACAGACGGACATGAAAAGAAGCAGGCACAGTAAAAACTTTACTATAATTTCTATCATAGAATGACTTCCGAGCTGGATGGACATTCCCATGGTATTGCCACTCAGTCTTCAGCAGTCACAACTGGAGCAAGTGCAAGCTTCTTGTACGACTTCAAATGTGACTAAAAACAACAGCAAAATCAGGAAACAAGAGGGTCAGAATAGAATTTAATTTGCACAATAGGCCTAGGCCTATACCACAGAATTCTACACCTATAGAACGGGCACTGTACCACGTGACCTGTGAGGAATTGAAGACCGAAAACAATGGCGTCGAGAGGGCAAGATTTATCGTTTTCGGAAGTAACCCTATAGCTTTTAAAGCAAGAGCGGCTTTTTCAAACGAGTGAAAAGTTGAACATTTATTTACTGTCCAGTTTGTAATAAATTCACTGTGCAACCTGGAGATTGGAATTAAGGTTCTAAATTGTTGTGTTTTTGGGTGCAACAAGTTATTGTGCAAAAGTAGGAGAATCTAGATCTAGATCTAGATATTATGTTCGATAATTCAGTAGCCTAAATATTTGATAATAAGTTGCGCAACAAATTTTTGACCGCACGCTACAGTAATAGTCGATAGCGTATTATTTTCATCCGAAATATTAATTTACGCATCCATACCCCTTGTTGGGCCTTTATAAGCACATGTAGTCCTACTTTAATTATGTTACTTTCATAAAATTGTTTTTGAAAGCATTTTCAATTCCTTTCACTTTCACTTCCCACGCGCAGGCACATATAATTATGATTACAATTTAAGATTCCAGATCTGACGAATGTATTTATTAAATAGCGTATAATACTGGGTTAGCCAAAGCATTGCAATGCGCGCTATTATCAATTATTGAATTGTAAAAGGACTTCAATTTGATCCCAAACAAGAGACCACTTATTTTTTTATACGTATTTATGAATGTGTGTTTGTTTACTGTGTGCGGGGATTAAAAATTAAAGATTAAAGATTCCAGATTTGACAAATGTATTTTTATAAAATACCATAATAGTGCTGGGTTAGCCGATGCCTTGCGATACACGCTTTTATCAATTAATTGAATTGTAACAGGACTTCGATTTGATCCGTAACGAGAGACCACTTATTTTTTCTTTACGTGTTCAAAAATGTGAGTTTGTTTACCGTGTGCGGGCATTAAAGATTCCAGATCTGACGAATGTATTTATTAAATAGCATATAGGCCTATAGGGCACGGTTGGCCAATGCATTGCGATACGCACTTTTATCAATTAATCGAATTGTAACAGGACTTCAATTTGATCCGTAACAAGAGACCACTTATTTTTTCTTATACGTGTTCAAAAATGTGTGTTTGTTTACTGTGTGCGGGGATTACAGGGGGACAAGCCCATCCTCTCAACATGTGATCCAGGGTATGGGGATACATTTTTCTCAAAATGCACACAGCTCTAAAATCCTTGACCAATGATCACTTGCCATGGAACTCTTTCTGTTGTGACTGTAGACACAAGTTTCTTCATTATCACACCTGAATGAGCCTATCATTCATGCATTAGAAACCACACTCTCAACACACACAAAAATTACTTTGAACATATATTCAGGAAACATGCCAGTTCCACTCTTGTTTACTATATTTTGCATTATTGGCTTTTATGTGTAAAACAATATTTGAGGCCTTTTCTGCATTTTTGTGTTTTTGGCAGCATGTATAATGTATTTTATGTGCAACCGACACATTCTCCAACCTCTTGTATTTGTTAGACTCGCACGTACTTTAAACAAAGCATGTTATACACACTATATTTCACTGATGTAAACACACAGATGAATTCTTAAAGTGAGAAATAATACATTTCCTCAATATATATAAGCTCAATTTATTTATATATCTCTTTCTAGTAAATTGGAGAAAAGGCTTATAAGTTATATTGTTCTTTTTTGCTTGCTGTGGATGGCCTTAAGTTTAATGACAATGTAATTGTAGTGAGCATGTTACTGTCAGCGTCCCCTTTATCGTAGTACTAATCAAGACTATATCTAGATATTTTGCAAACAGAATTAATGTTCATAATTAGTGTTATTATCAAGTGTATTGTGAGTGTGAAGATCTTTAGTAGATCTAGATCTAGATCTAGATCCCATCCCATCATTTTTTTAAAACCCAAAGCAAAAAAAACAAAAACATTGTCAATTATGACATATCATTATATTGTTGGCAATAAAAAAGTACTTGACTATTTCACTATATTTCCTCTTCAAAGAAAGTTTTAAAATACTGATGTAAGGTGTCTTCCAAGCCCTACCACTAGTATAAGCATGCATAGCAACGCGAAGCCTCGCTGTGCGGCGCAGCAAAGCTGCCCTCAATTGGCCGCCATGTTTTAGTTTCAATTCCTCACAGCGAATCAGCGATCGCGAAGAGGGAGTTCCGCTTCTATAAGTGTAGAATTCTGTGGCCTATACAAAACTTTGAAATTTACCTTTCTTCTAAATTTATTTGAGTAGAAATAAGCACATTGGCATGACAACTGTCATCTAGAACCAGTGAACAGCAAAGCCAACAGAAAGATGCTTAAATAACAGAGAGAGAGAGAGGGAGAGAGAGAGAGAGAGAGAGAGAGAGAGAGAGAGAAAACAGAAATATATAGGACCTACTGGTGGCACCTTCTAAGAACCCATGCAATTGCCACTTGTCAATTCTTAGTTCAGAACTGAACAAGGCGAAAACAACTCTGGTAAGGAGAGGAAAAACGCGCAGTTTACAAAATGAAACACGAAAAAAATCCAGTGTTTTCTATGAACTCAAAGAGGGATTACACAAATGCATTAAGTGTGAGAAAACAAAATCCTTAAATTCAAATTACAGTAGGGCCTACAACTTTCCAGGGATGGTCTGAAGGCCAGGTAGCCGGAAGTCTTGCTTGTGGCCACTTCCTCTTAGTAGACTCTTGCTCCCACTGAAAATCTTCAAGTTTTGGGCGATATCTGTTTTTATTGTAGGTGTTTTACATCCCCATCGACACAATTTAGATCATTTAGGAGGCAGGCTTTGACCCTTCCCGTCAGGGCAACCCGAGATTAGAGGGATACAATGACCCCGCCACTTCTGATTGGTCACATACATAAGATGTACGATAGGCAAGGCTAGGCGGGTAATGATCCACAGTGTATGCAATCGATGGTCCCTTGGAATAGAGAAGAAGATAAACTTCATTTTACGGAGAAAAGTGAAAGAAGCCATATCAGCAAGAACTGTTCACTAAGGCAAACACTGTTCACTCAGAAAGCAGCTTCATTGAATCACAGTTTTCTCATTTTTTATTTGTTGAATCTGGGTTATTTTGTTGATTTTAATTAATTTAAAAAGCACGGAATCCCCCTTCTTTTGTTGAATCTAGGGTTTCCATTAAATCCAAGTTCTTTGTATCCGACTTTCATTGTATATAAAAATATATTATGAAGCCTGGAGGTGAAAGCCATTTG